TTGCCCCCTGCCCCTGTTAGTGTTGACCAGCCTCAGGGTTACCCCTGGAAACTGGAGGTTGATGATAATGGAAGTCTCTGCTGCGTGGTTTGGCAGGTGCAGACCGATCAGTACATCCCCGAGGAAGACATCTATGGGGAGATGGATGCCATCGAGCACCAGCTGGACCAACTGGAGCACCGTGGGGTGGCGTTGGAGGAAAAGCTTCGCAGCGCTGAGAATGGTATGTGGGGTGGGCTGTCTGTGGGTGTGGGGTAGGATGGACCCTAGGGCTGCCCTGTGTCCAGCCAAGGAGATAGCAGCGGTGGCTTCCTCCCTGCTGATGCTGGAGTTGCAAGAGCACAAAGGCCTGTGCTGGGCTCCAAGAATGGTCACAGCCATACCCTGGACATGGAGATGTCCCTAGAGTAGAAACAGGTGAGAGAAGAGACAAGGTCTCTCTGGGGCTCAGGAACAGGCTGAAGTCAAGTTGGCTCTAGCCCTGTGCTCCTCTCCTAGCTTGGCAGAGCCTGTCCTGCTGCTGGGTGACAGGGTCCTGTAGGGCTGGGAATGGCTCTGAATTGTCCCTTTGCTTGGCAGACAGCCCTGAGGACAGCCTGCTGGTGGACTGGTTCAAACTCATCCACGAGAAGCACATGCTGGTTCGCCATGAATCAGAGCTCATCTACATGTAAGTGTGTGCAAGCGTGTGGGGAGGCACTGATGCTCCTGCAAGGAACCCCGTCTCAGCCCTCCAGAAACTGTGCTTCCAGGGATGAGGCTGACACGGCCTCCTTGCCTGGAGAAGGCAGGGAAGGAGGGCAAGCAGATAAATGTATCCAAATACACCCCAAACTGACCCACTTGCAAGTCACCAGAGCCCCTGCAGCATCTCCTTCAGGAAGGCCTTGTGCCCCCAGGGCTGGTCCCTGCTGGTGCTTCCCCTGGCTCTTTGGCTGTACAGGATAAGATCAGCATCTGTGTGTTTCTTCCCAAGCTCATCCCAGAGCTTTGGATGATGTTTGGGATGATGCTCTGCCTCCCTGGAGCCTTGCAGTGGTTCCCAGCAGTGCCCCCTTCCCTTACAGCTTCAAGCAGCAGAACCTGGAGCAGCGGCAGTCGGACGTGGAGTATGAACTGCGTTGCCTCCTCAACAAGCCAGGTAAAGCATCTTTCTGGGTGCAGTTAACCTCTGTTTTCCCCTGGGCTTCATCCTCCTTCTGTCTTGGTGGGTCTCAGGCAGAGACAGACAGATTTTTAGAGATGCCAGCAGAATCAGCAGTCTCTAGAGCCACTGCTCCTTCTGCCCCCTTGTGCAGGGATGTGCTCCTTTTGTCCCCAGGGGATGCTCCCTGCAGGGTTCTCTCTCCACAGCGCCACTGGCCCTGCATCATAGCAGGAGAGCAGGGGATCATGCTAGGGTATTTCTGCCCCAAAGCTCTGAATTTTGGAGCTTCTTCAGCCATTTAATTGCCTGTCCTTCCTTGGGGTTTGGCTTGGTAGAGAAGGACTGGACCGATGAGGACCGAGGGAGGGAGAAGGTGCTGATGCAGGAGCTCGTGACCATCATTGAGCAGAGGAACGCCATTGTGAACTGCCTGGACGAGGACCGGCAGAGGTGAGTGAGGAGTGGCGTGGGCTGGGGGAGAGGGGAAACGTGTTGCCTGTCTGACTCAGCACCACACAAACAGCTTATGGGGGTGTCCCAAAATGTCCCTGTTGCCTTTCCGAGGCTTCCCAGTCCTTGTCTCTTTGAATGCTCTGTGTGGGAAAGACGGGGCACTGCGTGCAGCACGTGGGATTTATCCTGCTGGTAGCAAATGCTCACAAGGCAGTGATGGATCTGCCCCTTTGGCTTCTAAGTAGGAGGTTCTCGAGCCTCAAACAATGCAGCAGCTGTTTTCAGTGCTGAATTGCTGACGTCTTTCCCATTCCTTCTTTCAGAGAGGAGGAGGAGGATAAAATGTTGGAAGCCATGATTAGAAGAAAAGGTAAGAAACAATCAGGAAGATTTTTTGGAGTGATGTTTTCACTGCTGACCCCAGTGAGAGGCAGCATAAGCCATTCGTGAAATTGTGTGCAGAAGGAGAGGGTGAATCTTCTCTGTTTAGACTCTGGAGCCTTTCCTGTAAGGAAAACAAACTTTCTGTTAGACTTCGGGGCACAGTTGTGCTGTGCATCCCTGTTATCGCAGAAGGATGTGTGCATGAGGCTTTGATTCATGGCTCTGTGTGTGTGTGTGTGTGTACAACCATCAGCATCTCACAGTAACAAGCTTCCCTTTGCAACCCCAGAATTTCACAAGGAGGCTGAGACCGAGACCAAGAAGAAAGGCAAATTCAAGCCCATGAAGGTGCTTAAGCTCCTGAGCAACAAGCATGAGTCCAAGAGCAAGTCGCCCAAGGAGAAAAGCTAGAGCAGGGGAACACCAGCAGTGAGTGGGGTGCACTGCCCGACTGCCCTGGCCTCTCTGCAGCTGGCTGGGATGCCTGCCAGGAAGGGGGGGTTTGTCTCCCTCTGCTCCCCTCGCCTCTGCCCCAGCTCCCTCCCTGGGCACCAGAGCTGCCGCCCCAGGGAGACATCAGCCCTCTGCCCGGAGTGGGAGAGTCTGACCAAAGCGCTTCCCTTCCCGAGGCCGCAGAGGAGTGTGACCATCCCTTCCGTGAAGCCTTGCTAAAGAGGCAGAGAGAAGATGGATTCGCTTTTCGGACACGTTACCCCATTGGTGTTCTTGTTATTAACTGAGAAGCAAGCCAAGGAGTTTGGTGTTCGTGGGAAAACTTGCACTAACTGTCCCCTGCCCCTTCTCCCGCTCTAACTGTGACAATTCCACGTGCCTCCGACCTCTGCCAGAAGGGGACTGGGCCTGGGCCTGGGCCTGCCTGTCCCTCCCTGCCCCTCCCTGCCTGCCTGCTCTTGTCCCCCTTTCTGTCCCATTTTTAATTCCAGGAGAAAACTCTGGCATTAGAATCAGGATTTTTTTGGGTTTTACTGGCCTGAACTAAAATGTTAAGAAAACACTCCTGCATCATAAGTCTCTAGAGCCATAGCCAAAAAAACCAACTGGTGCCCTATTTATTTTGAGCTGTCCCCTCCCTCGAGCGCCAGGGCAGGGTGGGCTCCGTTACAGGGCTGAGAGGACCCATGGGGACGGTGTAGCTGCCAGGACGTAGCTCATGCACCCTACTCAGGACATCTTACCCCCCACTGCTGCTAAACACCACTGACTCTGCTGCCTTTCGCGGGAGGGAGGAACATTCCTTTTCCAGGCAGGGCCAGAAAAGCTCAAGACTGACTCAGTGCCAGCGAGGGGCACCGAGCTTGTGCCCCTGCTCACCAGTGCCACCCCTGAGTGGCTGGGGAGAGAGGCACCATCACAACTGACCTTTACCCAGCTTCGTCTGCGTATACTTCATAAAGCGTGCAGAGAGGGTTTGGCTGGTTATTTTTTACACCCTCTTTACTAGATGAATTCAAACCCACCCTAAAACTTTTTAAAACCCTTATTTTATTTGTCGTGTGTGTGTGCGTGTGTGTACACTGAAGGAGGGGATGGGGGAAAGTGTTCTTCCAACCATCCCTTCTTCCTTCCATTTTTGTTTCCTGCCTTCTCCTCCAAGGCGAGGAGCTATTTATTGAATCGTTGGATCAGTCTGAATTAGAGTTTCATGGGTGTTTGGTTGGTCAGCTGTTCATCATACCTTCTCATTAGCAAATTAGACATAGCAGCCTGGAGCAAAGTGCTGCAATCCCTTCTGAAAACCCAAGAGGCTTTAGCCAAAATGCTCTCGGAGCAGTGCCTTGCAAGGTGGTTGGCGTAGCATGCTGGAAAGGGGTCCTCGTTTCCCAAAAAAGGAGCGACCTGAGCCCCTCCTCAATCCCAGTGTGGCCCCCACAGCTGGGAGATGGCGATATCAGCCCCGCGCTGGTGACACCAGCTTGCTCTTGCCATTCCCCAGCAGGCTGATGAGGAGCAGTGGGAGAGGAGATCCCAAAGCACAACTCTTCTCCCAGGAGAAACAAATCCCCTTTAGAGCCTGCTGTCACGTCACTGTTGCCAAAGGCCATCGGGATTGCTGCAGCCTGACGCCCCTTGGCCCCACACCTGGCCAGAACTCTGATTTGTAAATTATGCTGTACTAACTCTCTGACGTCCATTCACCTGAACAGAAATAAAAGAAATATTGGATTTAAGAAACTGATCACTGCTTAGGTTTTTGATTCCTTACAGTATCCATGCTGTCCTGGGAATGGGACATGCTGCCTGGCTTTGGGGAGTGGCTGACAAGAGCATTACTAAGCAGCAGATGACAGGATCTTAAGGAAATTGGGAGGTGGACTTTATGCTGAGATTTATGTAGGAGTAGAGAGACATCGTGCTTCAGCCTGCTGAGGGGCAGAGGTGGGACTGTGTATGAGGCGAGCAAAGAGCCATTTCCAGGCTGTGGGGGAGAGCAATGACTGTTGTGCATACCATGCTTTCAGGAACCATAAAACCACAGCAAGCCTGCAGGAAAAGGCAGCGTGCGCTGGGCTGAAATCCCCTCTCCTTTCTGAGCGCAGCTGTGTTTCTGAGTGCCAGCCCAGTTCAGCTGCCGCCGAGAAGTTTGCTGATGCACACAATCATGCTGACCTACAGCAACGCTGGAGGCTCCTGTTTGTGCAAGGCCACGCAGCTGCATCTTCCTTGCTGCCGTCTGCCGGCACAGCCATTCCCAAAGTCATGGGGACAGGAGTGGGCTGTAGATGTGGGTAGCAGCATGTGTTAACGTTACACTGACATCAGAAACTTCCACCTCTGGGTGGGCGGAAAGGAGAGACATTTTTATCAGTGGATTGCTGTACTTCAAGGCATTGCACAAGCAGGAGGAGGCTCTGCTTTGTCATGTTGTGCTAGCTGCTGCTGTGTGTTTTCATCTCTTTAATAATGTTGAGCAAGAAGGGATCCAGTGCGTGGGCAGGATTTTACAACAGCTTTCTCTTGTTACCAGCTATGTACAAATTGCTCCTGTCTTCTGGCTTTAGGCAACAGGTGGTGCTGCCTCCTCTTTGGACACGGGCACAGGCACAGACCAGCGACTGAGACTCCAGGGCTGCGAGTCTGGGAAGAAGAGGTGGGAACAACTTGCACCTGTGTTTTTCCCTTGGCCTAGATGGGGGGGATCGGATTTGTTCCCACCAGGGAAGTCTTTTGTCATGATCTCTCTCACTGCCTCACTTCTCTTCTTGTCAAGGATCTCCATCTCACGCATTTTCTGCAAAGTACAAAGGGGAAGGTCTGAGTGGGGAGAAAGATTGCAGGGGTTTTTTTTTTCTTCTTTTGCCAACCCCAAGAACAAAGATTCTATTTCCCTGATTAAGTTACATGCAGAGATGAAAAGAAAGGCTGAAAACCTCTATCTCCCATTCCCAAAATTCACGCCTGTCCTGGGCTATGAAGGGGAACACTCAGTTTTCTGCCCTTTTCCCCTCTTAGGTATTGGAGGAGTCTCTGCTTTAAGGTGTCTGACACTAGGGATTCCCTCCACGCTCTGTACGGCAAGCACAGCCAGGACCCTCACGTACCTGTGAGATTTCAGTGAGAATAATCCTTTGATACTTCTTGCCCTGTCCTAGAGCTTCCATCTCTGCCAGGAATTCCCTCCTCTCCTGAACTTCATTCACCACTGATGGATAAGAGAAAACACTGTGGAAACGGGATTCAGCAAAAAGGCAAGAAAACATGTTTCTATCTAGATCTGAATCCCGCATTTCCCAGCTGTGCTTGAACAGCGGTCCTGCCAGAGGAAACATGAGGTCTGCTGCAACACTCATGTTGAGCATGTCATCAAAATACCTCAGTAGTCCCTTACACAATGGGAAATGTCCCCCCTGCCCATCCTCTTACCACTCCCCATCTTGCAGGAATGGTAACTTTCTAGTTTTCTTTGTACAATTCTCTGTTGCCTGTGGGCAATTTAACCTGACTGTGGATGGCGACAGAACCTCCTTAAAGTTGTAGAGGTTCATTAGTTGAAACACAGCACCCAGTGACCACAGCCATCTCTGCTCCCAGGACCAGCACAGGCACAGATTATATGACAGAGAGAGGTATTAGGCAAGGTTTTGCCATCCCAGAATACCCTGCAGGTCAAAGTCCGTCACTGCTTAAAATTCTGCTCGACTTTTAAGCTTTTGCTACTGTAACTGCTCTAATCTTGGAGTAAAAGAACACAGAGCCCAAACCGTGGTCAGGCTGGCAAGCGTCCTAGTCTATGTTGAGTTGTGCTGTCTGAAAAAAGGACCCGCAGTACCTGGGCTCCCTGCCCAGGTCGCCCTGCATGTCCCCAGGGTATTCCCCTGCCAGCGGCATTCATTTTGTGTAGGCAGCCCAGGGAGCTTGGATCTGCGGGCAAACCTCTGCAGTATGAGCTCTGAGAGGACGGCTGGATCACACGTAGAGTCACAGCAGCAAGCCCTTTCTCTTGCAAACCAGGCTTTGTGCCTTCTTCCACAACCAGCTTTAGGTTACTGGCAACAGGGCCTGCCACCCCAGTCCTCGGAGGGAGCCGGCTTCCTGCCTGCCTTCCTCCAGGGAACCTAAAGACATACGTTCTTCGAACCGGTCAGGCTCAGGTGTCTCCTCTTCCTTTGTCTGAACCAGTCTCTGCTTCACCTTGTGCTCCACCACATCCTTCCCTGTCGCTAAGATGTTTTGGAGCCTTTGCTTCTCCTTTTCCAAATCTCCTGTGAAGACCAAGAGGGAAAGCAATGATTCTCAGCCTGTCCCCTCAGGGAGGGGCCTGGCCACACCACCCCCCTGCTAAGGATGCCAGAGGAAGCTTAATGTTAATGACAGCCCATACCCAGACTGAGCTGTGCAAGCACCACACAGGCACACCCGTGGTGAAGAGCCAAACAAACTGGCATCAGAGGTTTGATTCACATTTATAAGCTAGAAAATCGTGCAGCACTCTCTTCTTAAGAAAGGCTTGTGCAAGTTCCTATCACCCCCCGAGCCAGCAGGCTGCAGTCAGTGAGCACTTAGAATAGAAGTTCCCTCAGAGACCCATTTTGAAGGCATCTTTGGAGATAGAAAGCATGAGGATGAGGAGCAATTAAGATTGCAGGCAGAAGATGGACGTAAGTGGAAGGGAGGGAGCGGGCGGCATCATTTATTTATTTATTAGTGGTGTTTGTGCTGACTTACGTCTCGCCTGTGGCTTAAATTTCTCTCGAACGTAGGCATCCCCTGCCTGGCAGACCTTGGCAGGCCGGAGATGTGGTTTAGCTGAAAGCCTGATCGGCTGACAGACTGCTCGGGAGAAAGTGGGTGCTGCAGGTGCTCGCTTCTCGCTGGATGTGGGGTGGCACTGGGGGGGCAGGGCATCTCCTCCTGAAGAACAAACCCAAAATAACAGTAAGTCAAACAGAAAGGAGCGTGGATGGATGGTCCCGGGCTACCACCAGCAGAAGATCTGCCTATTGATCCACTGTTAGCACCACAAGTGGGGATCCCACGTGTCACAGGTGACTCACCCTGGTTGTTGGTACATGCTGACACAAGGCAGACTTTGGTTCAAGTCATGCCATCGTGTCTTGTTCCCTGCTTGACCCTTGGGGTCACCTCACGCATACATCCCCACATTCCAGCAGCAGCTGTGTCACTTTTTCAAAGTGCTTGCCCATCCATGCTGGCTGTGAGCAAACGGCCCCATCTCACGGTGAGCAGCAAAAGCTCCACACCCCAGCCCAGCAGCCGGCGGGAGGGCCCTCACTCACGTCTCACGCAGTCCATCAGGCATCGCTTCTGGAAAGGCGTCAGCTTTGATCCCTCCAGCATCGCTGAAAAACACCACGTACGGGTGAAGCCAGCAGCCCGGGGCGGGGGAAAGAACCC